GAGGCAACATAGTCGCTGAGGGTGGGGTGGGCAGGGGCAGAACTCAAGGGGTCAGTGGAGGGTCAGTCCGCATAGGACACCGAGGAGCATGCGATGGATGCTGGCTCTTCCTGTGGACGACACAACCCTGGTCTCCTGTGACCCAAGGCCCCGCCTCAGCTCCAGGTCCAGCCCAAGGTGGAAAAGTGGCGCAAAGCACACGCACTAGAGCTGGTCCCAGGACTTCTTGGACACCACCAGGACGGGACACACGCGTCATCCCCCAGGCAGCGAGAAGCTGTGGGCACCCGCCGCCTCCTGAGAGGCACCACGGGAGCTGGGGATGCCACAGCGGAGGCTCGGCAGAATCTGAGAAAGAAGCGTCCCTAGCTCTCCACATTTCAGCTGGGAGGCCAGCAATGTCCTCCTTTTGTTTCAGCCAGGTTGAGCTCAGTGTCTGTCACTTGCAACCAAAAGTCCGGACACAAAAATCCTACTCGACTGTTATAAAAAGGTCAGCTTCACGCAGGCGCACTCTAATGTTAGAGTGGGAGTTGAGCGTAGAGGCACATGCCTGTAATCTCAGCTACTCAGGAGGTCGGGCAGGAAAATCACTTGAGATCAGGAGTTCAAGACCATCCTAGGTAACACAGCAAGATCTTTCTCAAAAATAAATAAAATAGGCTGGGCTCATTGGCTCAGCCTGTAATCCCAGCACTTTGGGAGGCCGAGGCAAGTGGATTGCGCCCACGGGTTCGAGACCCGCTTGGGCAACTTGGCAAGCCCTCGTCTCTACAGTAAATGGAAAATTAGCCAAGCGTGGTAGCGCGTGCCTGTAGTTCCGGCTACCTGGAAGAATGAGGCGGAAGGATCGCCAGAGCTCAGCAAGTTGAGGCTGCAGTGGCCAGGAGCGTGCCACTGCACTCCAGTCTGGGCAAGAGTGAGACTCCAACTCAAAAAATAAATAAATAAATAAAACAGAGCAAAGACTTCTGCATAGCGAAAGAAATAGCAGAACAAGCAATCTACAGAAAAGAAAATATTCGCAAACAATACAGCTGACAAAGGACTAATATCCAGAATGTACACAGAACTCAAACAAATCAGCAAGAAAAAAAGCAATTTACCCCATTAAAAAGTGGGCAGGGCAACTCTCTTGGGTCCCTTCTCTCACCATGGGAGCTTTTCAGTCCTCTCAATAAATCCTGCTTTCAGCTGGGCTCGGTGGCTCAGCCTGTAATCCCAGCACTTTGGGAGGCCGAGGTGAGTGGACTGCCTAAGCCCGCGGGTTCAAGACCCACCGGTGCAACTTGGCGAGACCTCGTCTCTACAATATATATCAAAAATTAGCCGGGCGTGGTAGCGCGTGCCTGTAATTCCAGCTACTCGGAAGGCTGAGGCGGAAGGATTGCTGGAGCCCAGCAGGTCGAGGCTGCGGTGGCCGGAAGCGTGCCACTGCACTCCAGTCTGGGCGACCAAGTGAGACGCCAACTCAAAAATAAATAAATAAATAAATAAAAATAAAATAAATCCTGCTTTCAAAAAAAAAGTGGGTAAACGGCCAGGCGCGGTGGCTCAAGCCTGTGATCCCAGCACTTTGGGAGGCAGGGGTGAGAGGACTGTTTGAGACCAGACTGGACCACTTGATGAGACCTCATTTCTACACTACATCAAAAAATTAGTCAGGCATGGTCGCACAGGCCTGTAGTTCCAGCTACTTGGAAAGATGAAGCACATCGCCTGAGACCAGCAGGCTGACGCCGGGTGGCTGTCCGGGCAACAGAGTGAGACTCTGACTCAAAAAAAAAGTGGGCAAATGACATAGACAGACATGTCCCAGAAGAAGATACACAGATGGCCAACAAACACGGAAAAAACACTCAATATCACTCATCATCAGGGAAATACAAACTAAAACCATAACGAGATCTCACCTTACACCAGTCAGAATGGCCAGTATTAAAAGAAAAAAACCGGTAGTGTGTTCTCCTCCCTCCCTTTCTACCTCTGCTGCCCCCATGGCGCCCATGAAAAAGCTTGTGGTGAAGGGGGGGCAAAAAACAGAAGCAGGTTCTGAAGCTCACTCTTGACTGCACCCACCCTGTAGAACATGCAATCATGGATGCAGCAAATTTTGGGCAGTTTTTGCAAGAGAGGATCAAAGTGAATGAAAAAGCTGGGAATCTTGGTGGAGGGATTGTGACCACTGAACAGAGGAAGAGCAAGATCACTGCAACTTCTGAGGTGTCTTTTTCCAAAAGGTATTTGAAATAGCTCGCTAAAAAATACTTGGAGAAGAATAATCTACATGATTGGTTGTGCATAGTTGCTAACAGCAAAGAGAGTTACGTTACTTCCAATTTTTTTTTTTTTTAAGTTGGGGTCTCACTCTGTCGCCCAGACTGGAGTGCAGTGGCCGCTTCCGG